TTAAATGAATTTCCAATCTACAAATTGAATTTTTTTATATATTAAGGGCCCCTGTAAACCAAAATAATTTCGAACAAGTTTAACACAGTGGCAAGGATTGTAGAAAATGTACACTAGATCCGAATTTGCAGGGTGTTTAAAATACGGTTTAAAATTTTCTTTGTTTCGATAATTTAAGTCTGCACCTAATGCTTCGCAAGCTGTTCGGTGACATTTATCACCATCAAAAGTCACATTAACGACTTTAATTCCTTTCGTCTCTAATTTCAACAGCAAATCTTTTAGCAATATAGATTTTTCTACGCCGGTTAAACAATGTATTAAATAATGCGCTATTAGAGATTTGAATCCGCCGTTTATATTAACTAGCATAAATACTGGTGCTCTGCTAGCAATTTTCTGTTCTCCACTTTTATTAATTTTATTTAGTTGCCCACCTAAGTCGACAAAACCTTTCCAGGTATGTGTGATCTTATCCCATTCACGATGAAGTTTAATGTGCATTTCGTCAAACGTTATATTGAATACAAGTTTTTTGCCTTTTGCTTCTTCTTGTTTTACAATATTAGAAATTTTTTCGATAGTTTCCTCTGATATTCCCGGACTGTATTCTTTTGAGCAATACCATTTATTAAGCGTTTGTTTGCAAGGTAGACAATTCAAAAAATTACGTCTAACAACTTCATATGCTGCTGTTGAATTTCAAATTTGACGGAAAAGGTGCAGTTGGCTTCCGATTTTTCATTCGTGACAATAGTTCTTTTACATGAGGTGGTAAATCCTATCAAAAAAGGTAAATATTCAAAATACTGTTCTCTATTTGCATAAAAATCAAGACTTATTTATTGAAGTTGATTGTTTCAATATACAATTGATATACTTATAGATATATAGATAATTGATATACTTATACGCCTATGTACAATATATGTAATTGTAAAATTTCGTAAATATGCATTCATTATACATATATATGTAGAATATTATTTTATGAAGAGTTGCCCAAATTTCAAAGAAAAAGTGACATATTTTTGTATTTTTTCAAACATCCCTGGCGGATTCGATTTACCTAAAATCGACCCAGCTGAGTCGAATCTAAGTCGAATCTAAGTCGAATTTAGGTAATTATCAAAAAAAAGCTTTAAATTGATGAAAATTTATAAAAATTAGTATTGTGAGGTTAAATGAACATTCATAGAGTTAATTTTTGTAAGAATTTTAATTATTAACGTGATAAATAATAAATAATTACTTGATATGTGCAAGTGGTAACTGTAGATTTTAACTCGTTGTCAGTTTTCATAATATTTTCAGAAATTAGTGTAAAATGTGTGAAAAAATAATTTATATTTAATAGAAATTGCAAATTTTATTAAATTATTTTATTATTTAACAATCACATTTCATAATAATTAATTAATAATAAATATTTTTTATTCAAACTTGGTGCATTTTTTTCAGGAAGGATAGAGCTTTCAAAAAATGGAACTCACATTTTGTTTAAAAATTTATATTGTTCAGAAAAAAATAAAAATAATTATGAAAAATGACGAATTTTTAAAACATTTTACATTCGCTTGAAACTGGTTACTGGGGGGTTTTTGGGGTCGCTGAATACGAATCCGGTGTTAGTTTTTGAAAATTCAAAATGGCGGATCCAATATGGCGGACGAAAAAAATTAAAATTGTTCGGATTTGCTTGAAAATTGTCACTCGGGGGTTTTCGGGGTCGCTGATTACGAATCCGATACTAGTTTTTCAAAATTCAAAATGGCGGATCCAATATGGCGGACGAAAAATCAAAATTGTTCGGATTCGCTTGAAAATGGTCACTGGGGGGTTTTCGGGGTCGCTGATTACGAATCCGATATTATTTTATCAAAATTCAAAATGGCGGATCCAATATGGCGGACGAAAAATCAAAATTGTTCGGATTCGTTTGAAAATGGTCACTGGGGGGTTTTCGGGGTCGCTGATTACGAATTTGGTATTAGTTTTCAAAAATTGAGTCTTAAATCCAATGTTGCAGATCAATTTTTAATAATCGTTAACAATCGATTGAAACTAATTTAAATTAAACAAATTAAAAAAAGTTAAAAGTATAACAGCAATAGAAGTTTATTTTTTTATGTCTGTAACGGCCTTCCACACCACCCTTGAGGTTCCGCAAGAAGTTCTTTGGATTTTTTTTGTTAATAACTTTTAAAAATACGTCCATCACATTGCATCCGTAATTTTGAAAAACTAATATCGGATTCGTAATCAGCGACCCCGAAAACCCCCCAGTAACCATTTTCATACGAATCCAAACAATTTTGATTTTTCATCCGCCATATTGGATCCGCCATTTTGAATTTTGAGAAACTTATACCAAATTCGTAATCAGCGACCCCGAAAACCCCCCAGTGACCATTTTCAAGCGAATCCGAACAATTTTGATTTTTCGTCCGCCATATTGGATCCGCCATTTTGAATTTTGAAAAACTAGTATCGGATTCGTAATCAGCGACCCCGAAAACCCCTGAGTGACAATTTTCAAGCAAATCCGAACAATTTTAATTTTTTCGTCCGCCATATTGGATCCGCCATTTTGAATTTTGAGAAACTAATATCGGATTCGTAATCAGCGACCCCGAAAACCCCCGAGTGACCATTTTTAAGCGAATCCGAACAATTTTGATTTTTCGTCCGCCATATTGGATTCGCCATTTTGAATTTTGAGAAACTAATATCGGATTCGTAATCAGCGACCCCGAAAACCCGCGTGTAACCATTTTCAAGCGAATCCAAACAATTTTGATTTTTCGTCCGCCATATTGGATCCGCCATTTTGAATTTTGAAAAACTAATATCGGATTCGTAATCAGCGACCCCGAAAACCCCCGAGTGACAATTTTCAAGCGAATCCGAACAAATTTTATTTTTTCGTCCGCCATATTGAATCCGCCATTTTGAATTTTCAAAAACTAACACCAGATTCGTAATCAGCGACCCCAAAAACTATAGGAACCACTTTAGTTTCGTTTTTTTATATGCTCAGTTTTGCCTGGGCACGAAGGGGTTAAAACCGAAAAAAATTATACGAAAATAATAAAACTCAATTGGAAAGGAACTGCAACAGTCAAACAACAGAACCAGCTGTTTCTACCAAAACGCATCAGCGCGCAGGCGTTAAGAAACAAAGGCAGAAGAGGGGACGTTAAGTACACTATCTGACTCTTTTTATCAATCTAATGCGTTTTCAGGCCTCTCGCGTCCTTTATTCTTATATCTCTATGGTACTCTTTTAAGAATAACTAGATCGTTCTCACTTGTAGGTGAAAAACCTGCTAGTTATCTAGCGGCAAAGATAAGAAGCTCATACTTTTACCGCGAAATACTAATCAGTAATGAGAACTGGTGCTTAATATCGATGCACAATGCCGAATATAATAAAAAATTTTAATAATACGATTTTATTATAAAATGATTTATTTTTTGGATAATTGAAATACAAAAAAAAAATCTACAAAATTATAACGTTTTGAAATTTCACAAAAGCAAAATTAATACAAACAAATGAAAACGCTATCTTCTTGAAAGGATCAAATTAAAAAGAATTGATCCCAATATTTATATCAAAGTATAATTTGATCCAAATACTAATAGTTTAACCTTTAAATAAGTAATGGTTACTTTTAATGCAACAAGTTAACAAAGTAACAAGTTTCAGGCGAATTTAAGTAAATTAAAAAAAATGTCCGACATATTGGATCCGGCATTTTTAATTTTTAAAAACTAACATCGAATTCGTAATCAGCGACCCCAAAAACCCCCGAGGAATCAATTTCATCAAAAGTTTAACAAAGCCTTTAACGAAATAAATAATTTGTTGTAACCTTAATTATTTGTTAACAATAATTTGTTTATAACATGTAAATTTTGACTTGTGTAATTTTTTACCACTTAAGAAGTACCACAGTATACAGTTCAAGAATGAAATTGCAACATCTATAAAAATTCATTTTTTCACTTCCATTTGGACTCCTTTTCGTAAACCTTGGGCAAGTAAGTTACGATCAAGGTGAAAGATTTCATCAAAAAATAGAAGCAATAAAAAAACGCATCTAAGAGAAGAGCACACTGAAGATGATTTTCGAATATTGTTGGACGCTTAAGTGTCATACAGGCCCAATCTTTGCAGTCAATTAATAACCAACCCTTTGAGAATCCGTTTTTTGTCTTTTATTATATTTATATATTTTATTTTTTTATATTGGTTACCAATGATTAACAACTACATGATCATCCCAAGATTTTACCAATCGCGGTCCAATATTGGGTGCCAACAGTTTGACAAGGAAAAAACGATTATTGGGCTATTATTAAACCAATAGTTTATTTCTCATTGTGATCTGAACAATGGAAATTTTAAGAAATTAAAAAACACCGATTTGTAATGTAACTGATAATAGTTCGTGATACGTATGAGTGTCGAGTGTGGGGGTCCGAAGGGCTCCGATTAATTACGAAGTAAATGAATAATCAAAGTAATTAGCGAATAAACAGAGCTTTGCCGACCGGTCTCGCGATAACATTAATTATATTCCTGACTCACACTTTATTGATTTGTGTAAAATAAACTTATTGTCACTTTTATATCTTGTGTCTAATTTCTGCTCCTTCGTTTTAATTTAATAAACTAACTCTTTTTACATCAGAAGTGGGATAGTGCTCCGAGCCGTTAGTTTTTACCGGATATTGTGACTTTGTGTCGTTTGCGTTAAAAGTGATCAAATTGAAAAGCCGTTAGTGTTGGTTTAATGTGATCTGAAACGTAATTCCGATGAAAATAGGCCAAATTTTTAACAAATTATCGCGAGTCCCAGTTAGGCCTAGTGGTTGTGTAAGCTCTCATTGATTTTAATAATTGTTTTTGAATTTGATTCCGTTTGAATTGAGGACCCCAAAAGTGCAAAATGGTGACCAATCTACAGAGTTCGCGTTGTTGGAGTTGAAAGATGTCCTGCGGTTCTTTAAGCAAAATACTACGAGGAAATAAGGCAGAATTGATCTCCAAGATAATTGAGAGAGATCCAGATGGTTCCGGCCTAAAACACTGGTTCCAAAAGGTAGCTGCAGAACGGTCCATACAAGAAGAGAATCAAAGCCGTGAAGCTCAATTAGAAAATGAATCCCTTTTGGCTCAATTGGAAGCTGCCAGAAAGGAAGTGGAAAACATGAAGAATTCCCTTCACAGAAAAAGAGTTCAAGAGCATGAAGACGAGCTAAAGAAGGTTCGGACGGAAAGGGAAAGATTGGCCCGTGAATTACAATCAGCTATAGAGGAGTTGTCTAATCTACGTAATAATCCAGATGCCGTAAGCACCGTTGGAAGCGAGCCAAATTCCGACATTTTGGATTTGGAGCGAAGGGAACGCGATGCCGAGCGGGAAAAAATGGGGGGAGATCCGTAGGAGTATAGCGAGCAGAGGGGCAGATCTTCGAGCGGGTATCCCCCACCTCGTCGTACACCTCTTCGTCTTCAAAATTGAATATTGCTACGATAGTGGAACTATTTAATACTTATGACGGAACTGATGGAACGTTTGAAAGTTGACAATGGCAGGTGCAATTGTTGAAGGCCACATACGAGTTGGACGATTTTGCCACAAGGATTTTAATCTGCTCCAAATTAAAATCGAAAGCTTTGTTCTTGTTCCATTCGAAACCAGAACATATTGAAATGACCACCGAGCAGATTCTCCAAGAACTGAGAAAAATGTTTTATCAGCAACCCAATAAGATGCTGTTAAAGAAGGCGTTCGAAGAGCGGAGTTGGAAGCGAGGAGAATCGTTTGCTGAATATGTTCATGATAAAATTATCCTAGCAAATCGAGTCCCAATTCCGAAAAACGTACCTAGTGTACGCATTTGAGAAAGTGACGTTAAGTGTCAAGAGTGCATCGGAAGGACTTTCTAAGAAGTCTAAAGACGCGATTATGTCATCAGTCGTATTAGGTCGAAATGCTATTTAAAAATTTGGTTTAAATTTAATAGGGTCTTTGGATTGTTTTGAAAAGGCTAGCAAAGAAATTTTAAATATTGATATTAGTGGCAATAATATTGAAGAAATTGATTAAAAAATTAGTTCAGAAATTTCAGCTGATGATCGCGAGAAAGTAAAAAAATTATTTAATGATAATTACGTAAAATCAAAAAGGCTAGATAAGCCTAAAGTAAATTCCGAACTAGTAATAGTGTTAAAAGAAGAAAAGCCGTTTCAGTACAGACCTATTAGACTACTAGACTTAGCGGGAAAACTTATTTTACAATTTTGGACTTAAAAGATGGTTTTCATCATATTGCTATTGCGGAAGATTGTTGTAAATACACTTCGTTTGTGTCTCCGTTTGGTCAGTTCGAGTATATATGCATGCCATTCGGACTCAAGACGGCTCCTTTGCGTTTTCAAAAATTCGTGAACACGGTTTTAAAAGAAATAATTGATAGTGGTGACGTAGTAGTGTATTTAGACGATATAATAATTGCCACCAATACGATCGAACATCATTTGATCGTTTTAAAAAAAGTATTTAAATTACTTGTCGAAAATAAAATGGTATTACGCCTTGACAAGTGTGAGTTCTTGGCAACGAGAGTCGAGTTTCTGGGGTACATGGTTAGTGGAAGGGGCATCGAGCCGACCGAGAGAGGGGTAAAGGCGGTAACCGATTTCCCAGAGCCTAGAAACGCGCGAGGAGTACAATCATTTTTGGGACTGACGCAATACTTTAGAAAATATATTGAGAAATGTTCGATTATTGCCAGGCCTTTGTACGATCTACTTACAATTAGAAAAGGGTCAGAATTCGTATTTGGGAGCAAGAAAGATTAGCTTTGTAAACGCTGAAATTAAAATTAACAGAAGCTCCCATTTTATCGTTATATGTTCCCCGTCTTGAGACCGAGCTCACACGGATACGGTGCTGTACTTTTGCAAAAACAGAAAGATCTGAAGTTCCATCCCGTCTTATATTTTTCAAAGAGATCCACAGTCGTCAAGAGTCGCTACCATAGTTTTGAGTTAGAAATGTTAGCCATAATCTATGCTCTGAGGAGATTTAGAATATATTTATTAGGGTTAAAGTTTAAAATTGTTACTGACTGCAACGCGGTTACGTTGGCATTGAAGAAAATAGATTTGAACCTTAGAATTGCGAGATGGGTTTTGGAGCTCCAGAATTTCGATTATGAAACTGAACATCGAGAAGGTCGAAGAATGCAACACGTGGACGGGTTAAGCAGGTTAAGTAGGAATTGTTGAGGGTAATTGGTTTGAATTTAACTTAATGGTAGCACAGAGTAAAGATAAAGAAATCATTGATTTAAAGAAAAGTTTAGAAGCGTCTGAACACAAGATATTCGCATTGAGAAATGGCGTGGTTTATAGAAAAGTGGAGGATGGAAGTAATTTGACTTTTTACGTGCCGTCAGCTTTGGAAAGCAATGTTATAATTAAATTTTTTTAACGCCAAATAAAAATTGTCGGTTAAGAATAATAGTATTTTATTTTCTATATAATTATTATCTCATGATTTTAAAAAATATTTTTTACATACAGTAATTTTAAGTATTTAATGTAATTATTATTACCAAAAACACAAAAATGTAAAATTACTGCCAAATTAATTTTGCTTATATAGGTAATTATTTATTTACCATTTAGGGGCCATTTACATATTGCGTGATAAATTTAGGTTCTATTTTAGGTTTATTTTATTCTATTTTAGGTTCTAAATTACCTAAAATTTGTATCACGTAAAATGTTAATGATCCCTTATGATTAATAATTATTTGTTAATTAATAATGATTAAATATTAATTTAATGACTAAAAGTTATTGATAATTATGTGTAATAATCTGACTTTTATTGCCAAAGGATTTGCTCGCCGGATGGAGTCCGGGTACCTATTTTGACTAGTTAAATCTCGGTAGATGGCGTGAAGCGCCATCTATGTTTTGATTAATTTCGGAACTATTTCTTACAATGATGTAGAGGAGAGGTGTAGTCATAGACGAGTCTTTATTTAAACCTTCGAAAGGGAATATATTGTTTAAATAAAAGAATAATAAAATATACAAAATTGAATTATTACATACAATAATATAAGAACGAAAGAATCTATACAATGCAAATAAAATACTAATTTCTAGAAAACATAACGATGAAAGAACTATCTATACTAGAGGAGCGTTAGCTGAGCTCCGATCGCGCTCGTCATTAATCCAGAATAAAACGGATTTAAACATATTTACCACATTCGCGAAGATGTTGATCAGGACGACGCACATTACTTTCGCGTGGGATACTTTCCAGAATTTACCCCCTAGACGACGGTATGGACGGATACTAGGGTCGTGCACGCTAGGTCGATTATTATTCGTAATCGGGAAGAAGCTAGATATTGGATTCGGTTCCAATATTCATGCCCGACGCGAAGCTAGTGCAAAGTAATATTCACTAGGTGTCTCTTCCACCCGAGAAGCGCCTCGGGATGGGGAATCGACCTAGTGCATCATCTTTGTCAAGAGAGGAGCGACTCTACTCGACAAGGACGGTCCTGGTGGAAGTGAGTGGGTAACCTGATTCACCAGTCTTCCACGGAAGCGCCAATAGAAAGTCCGGTTCAACAGGAGGAAAGAAGGCGAAGGGTGTTACTGTTCCGCAGGAGCGCCTACAGGAACTAGTACAGCTCCTTCCAGGAAGTGAGGAAGGCTCCGGTGTTCAGAGAGACGCACCTCTACTGAGCGCCAGGTAGCCAGGAGTGAGTCGCTTTCAATCGTCAGAGAAGCACCTCTAGACGAGTCTAGACTTTCTCTCTTTTCGACGAGCCACTATACTACGGTACTCTATCGTTACATATGTAATAATTATTTATTAATTAATTATAAACATTTATTAATTATTTATTAATAAATATCTATAAATACATTAATAAAAGTATATTTTTATTAAAACGAATTCAAAAGTTCGCGCGTAAAAAGTAACCGGCTGTCGGTAAAAATCTCTGTTGAACTGGTCGAATATGAGAAAAACGAAAAAAGGCACACCTACAGGAGTAAACGCATAGTTTATACTTGTGTGTGTGGCCGTATGGAGGGAGGCGCACGGGCGGCATGGTGGGAGTGGGTTTGGTGTGCAGCCTGGCATCACTGGGGTCCTTTATGTTTATTTTATAAACATTTTGCTTCCTCATTGTGTGAAGCAAAAAATTTTCTTCTTCGTGGAGGAAGCTATGAATTTCTCCAATTTAATTGATTGATTTAAAAAATTTCGAGTTGAAAACTGTTTTAAATTAATTAAATTTTTTGAAAAATTAAGAAAATTTTAATTAATTTTGGGTGTAACATATACTTTATATATACAAATCGATTCGTTTCAATGCAGGGAATAAAATTATTTCATATATAAACATGAATTTAAATAAACACAACATTTTTTAGCTAAAATGTGAATTTTTGATTTTTTAACTTTCATTAATTTTTTAAATTTCAATCAAATCTGTACTTTATATATATAAATCGATTCATCTTGACGTAAGGAAGACGATTATATTATATATTACCTTAAATTTTTCGATTTAAAAATTTTTGGAAAAAAGACGATAACATTTTTTTGGGGGTATTTTTAAAAATCCTCTCGTCATTTTTGAGAGATTAATGTGTTAAATAAGCCTACCAAATTTTATTCAAATCCATTAAAACCTGTTGAAGATATCGTGTTTACAAAAACGATCCACACACACATACATACATCCGGACAATTGATCAGGATCTCATATAACATGTTTCTATATAGAGGAAAATTTGTTTTCACCATTTTTAAAAATTTTATAAACGGAAGGACTACAAAGCTTTCTCCACGAGGAAGCAAAATAATAGTAACTTCGTTTTCTCATAAAGATTGATAAGAAATGAAATCTGTAATTCATTGCGCAAGACATGAAAATGCAATTTGTAACATTCAGCATATCCCTCTTTCAATTTATTATGCATCAACAGAGGAATATATTCCAAGAATGTAGGACGAGTATAGAAATCAATTGCTATTCCCAGCACAATGGTTCTTACGGTCAACAAATATTTCTAGCAACTTCATTCAGAATTCAAATTACCTCATTCCAAGTAAACGTGTTAAATATTATACTATAGATCTCAAGGAAACATTAAATATACAGTGCATCAGAGAATTCAATAAGAAAAACGTTCAAAACACACGAACTCATTCCCAACTCTCTTATAGGATTATGGTCTAGGCTATTCAAATGCATACATAAAAATGTTATTTTACTTTTATAAATTAAAATGTTTATGAAGTTTTATACATTTCAGTCGATTTTGGGTTAGCTTAAAATACTTTTTACAAGTTAAAAGCATTAAATTTATTTAATTTTATTTATTCAATAAACTTTTAGAATTGTTGTTTTCAGGCTATGGAATATCTTCAAATTAATAAATTTTTTATGACAGCTATCGGACAGTGGCCATACAGAAGCCGTCAGTTAAATCGAGTGATAAATATTGTTGCCATTGTTTCTGCTCTATCATTATTTATACCAATTGTTCGTATTTAAAAAAACAATATTTTTAACAATCATTCACTTCATTCTATTTCTTTTTCAATTTTCATCTAAGTATATACATATCACTTTTCATTTCCACTATTTTATCATAACTAGCGTCATATCCTCTCTCGCTAGCGCTCCCTCGGTTGAAATTGTAATTATTATTGTTTACTTATTTCAGTTCATTCATATGTATTTATTTTATTTTTTAAATTAATATTATATTAAATTTATTATCTTTAAATTTTATATTTTTAAAAAATCTTTAATACTTTTCATAAATAAATAATTTATTCTAATGAATATAATGAGTTATTCCAAAGAATTAATTTAATTTAGTATTCACTAAACTGTCTTTGGGAATTGTGATCTGTTCTATAACTGTTTTTTCGATGAATATAAAACGGTTAAAATATAAAAAATTTTAAAAATGTTATTTGCAAAAAACAATTTTGAATTTTTAGAAACAAATATCATATTCGTAATCAGTGAATATGAAAACAGTATAGTAACAACTTTAGAGCAATTCCAATCAAAACTTTTTTTATGGGTAATTAATGAATTAATTATCAATATAGGGTAACTTTACATGGTTTAATTTAATTGTATTATATAAAAGTTACTTATATGTGGTTAATTTATGTTGTAAATTAACATTATACTAAATTTATTATTAAGTTTAAAAAGCCACGATCTTGCCCCCAAGAATTCGGGGCCCCCGGCGGGGGCCCATGAGGGCCAACGTAGGGGCCCCGCATGGATCGCCCTAATGATCGATTAGCAAAATTTTCTAAGTCCAAAAGTCAAATATTTTTTTATCATTAAAAAATTAATGTTTACAATGATTCAGAACAACGAAAAACGCGTTCTTAATAAAAATATATTTACACTTTTTTTGAAAATAACACTCTCACATATGGCCTCCGCTGGGGGCCCCCATCACTTTTCCACACGGGTATATACAAATTTAAAAAAAATTATTTTATATAACATTTTAGTGTTTTTAAATAAAGTACAAACAATAACTATATATATTACAAAAGTTTACAATCGAACACTGAAATTTGAGTAAAAATTCCTGAAGAGGATCACCCAAATTAAAGATGTACTTTATTTCCTTGGAAATATAGAAAATTAGAACATTATTATGAGTTGAAAAACTGCCTCAAAGGATTTTTCAAAAAAATTAAATTTCTCAAAGTTATAAACAATTGAAGTTTTTTGTAGTCTTAAGTTAAAAAATATAAATATCTTAGAACTAAGTAAACGGATCCTTATAAAAATTGGTATACTTACACAGAAAATGATACAGTTTTAATTGAAAAATAGTGAAAATGAAAAATTTTTGATTTTTAATCATTGTTATTGCAAAATTAATTGTTTATTTAAATAATAAACCATGTTCTCGTTGTCGTGGAAAGTTGATCCAAAGTTTATTGGAAAGGGAATTTCATAAGGATTCGAAAACCGTTTTAAAATTTCGTGGATCGCAATTAGCAAAATAGTTATCGCGTTTTTTGTGCGGCGCTGCCTGTCTCTAGCGCTAGCACGCAGAATATATTTTGCTCAAAAAGTATGGAAACTTGCAAATATCTCGAAAAGTACGAATATTTTATAAAAAATGTTCAAGATAAAAGTTGTTCCTAACAAAAATTGTTTTAACGTGTAAAGTATATGACCAAAATATTGGGCTGAGGAATCTTACATTGAGTTCTAGGCCTAATGTGAAAATTAGCTTCGAATTTATAATATGTTACCCCAAAAACCCCATAAGTTGCGATTTTTTGTTAATTCACCAGTCTAGGATTGGCCTATTATTTTGTGCATTTTTACCACTTGTGTGAATGCAGAATTTTATTAGGATTACGATTTTGATTCGAGAATTTGCAAGTTTACATACTTTTTTGAGCAAAATATATCCCTCATAACAAAAGGATATCCCTAGGATATCCATAGGGTATCCATATCAATGGTCGATATCCTAGAATGGTCCCCAGGATATCTTGGGATATCCAAACCGCCGGTCCGTGGGACATCCACAGGATATCCCTAAGACATCCACAAAATATCTATTGGATATTATATCGCAGGATATCCGTGGGATATTCTTAGGATATTCACGGGATATTTAATATCTTAACATATATTTTTAAAGGTTAAAATTGTTAAGCTAATATAATGAATAATAATATAATAAAAACAAAAATCTTATGAGCTTCTAATTTATTTTAAATGAAGTTTTGAATCGCATTTTTCAAAGTTTTTAAATAAACTCATGAACTTAATGTATAATTAATATTAATAGTTATTCGTTATTTGCGGGGAAGAATTTATATTGTTTAAAGCCAATTTATTTTCTGACAATATTAAGCATATGAATTAGTTAATTTTTTTCAATACTTTGTATGGAAATATTCTTTACCATATACAAGTATGGAAAAGTTCAAAACGTTATGGAATATTTTCCATTTTATGGTAAAATTCCAAATCCCTGTATGGAAAAATTCCAATACGTATAAAATTTATGTATGGAAAAATGCTTTTCGATACACATGTATAGAAATATTACATAACATTATGGAATATTTTCAATCATGTATGGAAAAATTACAAACTTTATTGTATAATGAACATTTTATTATATAGTATATTTTATTACATTCTTTTTATTAACTCATAATAATAACAACAATATTTTAGTTTATGTGTCTTATTTTTTAACAAAAGTGTTGTAAAAAAGAAAGGTAAGTTAATTTAATTGATAATAGTATAAAAATATTAATTAATTAGTTGTAAACATTGTTGTTGTATAAATAAAAAATATTTGTATTTACTGTGTAAATTATTAAATATAATTTTTTATAAGTTAGATGAATTTTATAAAATTGTGAAAACAACTTATGTTATTTAACAAAAAGTTAAATACAATTATTGTTAAATACAATAATAGTTTTATAAAAGATTTATGTTATATACATACTCTGAAATATTTTTATTCTAAAGTAACTATAGAAATTTTTTTATCTTTTGTAATACATGTTTTCTTATTTTGAAATGTTTGTCACATCTGGTTTGGTTTAGGATGGCCGGCTTAGGTTTCTTATTTAAAGAGAAATAATTTTATAAGTTTTCCGTGACCATTTTTTTCATAGTTTTTTGTAGACAGAAAGTTTGTGAAATTTTTTAAACCAAAATATAGGAAATTTTAGAAGGTTTTAAATATTCCCCATGAAATTCTCCAAAAAAGCCCTTTCAAGCGTCAGTTGTTCTCAAGCATTAGTCTGGAAAACATACTACGAGAAAATAAAACCGTTTGTGTTAAATGTTTTTTATAATATATTACAAAATTGTTTATTTCTGTGTTATCGAATTTGTAATATGAGAAATTTTTAAGGATTACATTTACATTTACATTTTAGAAAAAATACCTAGAGAAACATTAACTACATTAGTTAATAAATAATTTTATAACAAATTTCATACTTAAAATAATGAAAAATATATAATTAAATTATCAATTTTATATTCAGTGTGATGAAACTTCATAAAATTTAAGTAATTATTATTTTCATTACAGGAAAATCTTTGTTTAACGAAGAAGGCAAAGGTGAAATCTTTGTAGAGGTAGAAAATTTAATTTAATCAGAAAAAGACGTTAAGGTAAATATCTTATTTTATATGTTATATTAATATGTATATTTATTTATAATACATAACAGGGAATTATGTCAAACTTAATTATTTTTTCTTGATTTTTCTAGAGTCTTCCAAAAAATAAACCCGGATAATGGACATAATAGAGGAAAAAACGCAAAACGAAGAAGTTGATCTGAAAAGAAAAAAATTTGTGCTTTGCAATACACTTTCTCAGTTAAGAGTCTCAGCTTTTATAGTATTCAAGACTGATCTCAACTGTAAGAAAAAAAATTATCACCATCTGGCGGCGTAAGAGTGTAACTATGATGATCTACATCTATATTGGAATTTCCCATATAATTCCCTACATAATTTCTCATATAATTTCCGACTTGATATCTTAGATGGACAATTAAAACAGTGAAATCCACACATGAAATCCCACATTAATTCCTATATAGGATCTCATGTAAGAATTCATCATCCAATTATATGAAATATAGTACTATTAGAAATATATTCTAACCAGACCGATCAATAAAAATATCAAGTTTTAATTTTCTTATCGATTGGTTTTCTATTTGCGATTAGAAATTTTCTTTTTCAGTTCACAGCGATCTGATAAAAAATTAAAAAACCTTTATTGAAGATGTAGTGAACGTATCTAATTTTTATTTTCATTAAATGTGAATTCTTTTAAGAATAATACATTTTTAAACATAATTTTTAATTAATTGAGTAATTTTCAATTACTTTTTTTGGCGCTGTTGAATCTTTTTACTTGCTTTCTTTGACTTTGTATTTTCAGTGGCAGTTTTTTTGAATGAGATTCTACTTGAACTTTTTCGTTTTTTCGGGGTATCATCTTCGCGAATGAGGAACCAACAGTAATCCGCCATCAATGATTCATCTCAAAATCCTTTGTAACGATCTTCTATTTCGGCCATATCCTGATGAAAGCGTTCGCCTTGTTCATCGCTTTCAGCGCCTAGGTTGTCGGGGAAGAAGTTCAAATGGCTGAACAAAAAATGCATCTTGATTGTCATATTTGCACCTGAAATTTTTAAGTTCAATAAGTTTCTATTAAATTGTAAAAAACGATAGTTAAATTTCATTTTTCACGGAAGTAAATAAAAATCACATGCTTTTATAGTTAATGCAATAAAAATAAAATACAGTGAGATAACATTAAACCCACTCATTTGTAACTCTAAAAGTTTTAATCCATAATCTTGACGTAGCAAGTGCACTTCACTCGTTTCAGATTCTCCGCTCCATTCGATGTCACTTTCTATTTTTCTTTTCCCTTCCGCATTATCTGAAGAAAGCTCTGCCACTAAAAATTTTGGTTTTGGTAACGAATCAGAATGCGGGTCTGGCTTTGTCACTGATTCAACATCTGGATAAACTATTTTCCGGTTTTATCAAACAAAAATAACAATCACTGTTATGATTCTTCTGTTCTCTCCACAACATTGGTCTTCTAAAAGAGAAGTATCTATTTTTGCCTTCAGAAATAAAGTACAAATTGCGGCGACAAGTACCGCAAAGGCTGTTTGGTGTCCACGATTTTTCGAGACACGTTGCCGCAAATCCAAAGTATCGTTTATAGGCATCCAAGAATATTGGATCGTTCATCGTAAAACACTTTTTACCTCTTTTCATAAATAACTCACCACAAACATAACAAAAATTATCAGGTGGATTTTTACAAACTTTCATTACACTTGTACTTTTATATTATTCTTGCAACGAACAGACGCGTAAGTCAAACGCAAAAACGACTTTAAAAACAATTGCATAACGCTAAAACGACAGTCACTTTTTCTTAACCCTTTTTTAATTTTATTTCCAATAGTACTATATTTCATATAATTGGACTAGATATTGTCACTACGCGATAACGTAAATAAAATTATAATATACGGGATCCGCCATTATGAATTTTGAAAAACTGACCTCAGATTCGTAATCAGCGACCACGAAAACCCCCTTGCACTCATTTTGGAGTACTTAGCTCTAATTATTAAAATTTTGTCCGCCATACTGGAATCGCCATTTTGAATTTTTAAAAACTGACCTCGGATTCGTAATCAGCGACCCCGAAAACCGCTGAGTAATTATTTTGGTGAGCTTCGCTTAACTTAGTTTTATATAAAACTGATATAGATCGAAATCACTTGAAAATATACTAAAAGTGAAAAGTACTTTGTTCAATAAATCTAGTATAGAATTGTCATTTTTTATTCCATCGAGGTCTATAAAGGCTTAAAAGTTTCGTAATTAAATATACTATTAATAAAAAATTTAAAACTTGCCTTTTTTTGATTGTTTGACTTTGAAAAAATTAGCGAAAGTTAAACGAATGTCTAAAAATCATTAAAATTTGTTTGAAATTTGAACTTTGAGCGACTGTAACTCTGACAATTTTGAATGGATTTTATTGGTTGACCAATGGTTTGAAAGGTAATTTAATTATCTTTTAAATGGTGATTTATTTTTTACATTTGGATTAACTGCTTTCTCTACCAGTGACTTTAAGTGACGTCACACCTCGAAAATGCATAATTTGCTGTTACAAAAAAATTGCACAAGGGAAAAAAATTTTAAATATGACTTTCTTACTCAAAAAACACATATTAATCGAAAAAAAATGTTTTGTTCGAGTGACAAAAAAAATTTGAAATTTCTAAACCTGTGTAATTCTATGTGAAATCTTAGATAAAGATATTTTTGAATCTACATGAAATCCTATATGATTTCTTATGTTCAAATCAATCATATATATGATCCCACGTGAGGATTTTTAATATGATTTCATGTCAGATTTTTTGTGATAATTTTTTATTCAAGAATTGAAAAAAAGAATTGATGTATGATTTGATATAGGAAAAATTCTGGTAAAGGATTGAGCAAATCTTGGTATGTTTTTTAATAAGAAAACACGAAGGAAACTGACATAAGAAATTGAAGGAAAAAATGTGACTAGAAAAAATTGTTGGATTTCACATAGGAATTATATAATTTATTACCTAAGAATACGTTTATAAGAATTTACTTCGAATCCCACTTTAAATCATGTCTCAATTTCATATATGATTTTTCATAAGATCCTATATAGTTTCTTACATGACACATAGGATTTTATGTGGATTTTAATATATGAATTAATGTGAGATCCTATATAAGATCCTACATGAGAATTTTCAGTAGGGGAAAGTTGACTGAGTATGTATATTACATTTTCGTTACAGTTTCAAAATGATAATTATAATAATTAAATATTTACTTATTTCATTTTTTCTACTTATAATTATATTATTTTATCCTTTTTTATATGTGACCACTATTATTAAAACAGTAATTAAATTTATTTATAAAAAAATATTTTTGCCCATTATAAAAACGAAACTTTAATTCATATATTAAGTCACCTTTGATTTTGAACCGTTAACGAAAATGTAATTTACATATTCAGTTAACTTTCATTTTGAACCTTTAACAAAATTGTAATTTACATATTCAATCAACTTTTATTTTGAAACTTTAACGAAATTGTAATTTACATATTCAGTCAAATTTCATTTTGAACCTTTAACGAAAATGTAATTTACATATTGAGTCAACTTTCGCGTTAAACATTTGCTCACATGCGGACATTTTAAGATTTAAATAATCCATTCTGAACGCGGCGATGCAAAACTTCCAAGTTAACCTTAAAACATTCAATGAATCTTCGGGAAATTATCAGTGCTGTGTGGGTTTTAAAATTTTTGTTCGCCATATTAGAACCGCCATTTTAAAATTTTGAAAACTGATACCTTATTCGTAAAGGACCGTAGACATAAAACGTCACGCAGCTAAGGGGCGAAGTGGTCCAAAAATCATGACGAAGTGTGACATGGGGAAGGAGAACGCGTTGCGATCGATTTTTTTGCTCAATGAGCGTTTTCGGGGTTTGAGCCTAACAGATATAACAATAAAAAGAAATTATATATATTTAAATTTAAATTTTATGAAAAATTATATTTAATGATCTCAAATATTATAAATAAAACAAGTTAAAAATATTTTAAACTACTTAACCCCTTCGCTGTGAGATCAAAATCTTAATGTCAATGTGTCCAAAATGTTCAGAAACTTTTATATCACCAAAATTGTTGAAACTGTATGCACTTAGGTTTTCAAGGTCACTGATTACGAATGTGAAGTCCGTTTAAAAAAAAATGGCATATTTTTTTGGACATATTTTTTTAAATTTGGCGTATTTGCTTGAAACACGTTATTCGGGGGGATTACGAATCTAATATTAGTTTTTCAAAATTCAATATGATGGGTCCAATATGGCGGACAAGAAATTTAAAAATCAATCGAATTTACTAAAAACTTATTACTCAGGTTTTCAGTGCCATCTAAATTCAAATTTTTATTTTAGAAATAAAAAACAGTGGATGAAATATAGTGAAAATCAAAATCAATAATGTAAATATTAAATAAAAAAAATAACTCAAATTCCACCCCTGCGGTTAACTAGTAAATAGTTTAACAGTTCAGAGTGAACCACGTGCCCCAAAACCCCTGAGTAACAAATTTTAATTAAACTCTATTGATTTTTAATTTTCCTAACCATATTGGATCCGCCATTTTTAATTTTGAAAAACTAACATCAGATTCGAATTCAGCGACCCCGAAAACGCCAAAGTAACAAGTTTTAAGTAAATTTTAAAGATTTTTAATTTTCCTGTTTAATGTAATGTACCAAAAAATTTACGTGTGTGACGTGACGTTGTAGAGGAGGGGGGTGTTCAAAGTTTGTGACAAAATGTGATATGAAGGAGGGGCGTCGAAAAGGATCAAAAATTGCGTGACGTATTATGTGCACGACCTCTAAGTATCTTCTGATTTTGTAATTTACATCGTTACGAGAGCTATTTTGAATTTGTTTGGCCTCTGTAAAAAAAGAATTAAGAGGACCCTATTGAAAAAAAACACGTATAATTATACGTATAATAATACGTATAATTATACGTATAATTGTACGTATAATTATACGTATAATTGCACGTATTATTATACGTATAATTATACGTATTATTATACGTATAATTATACGTATAATAAGACATACGAATTTGAAACAAGAATTATACGTATAATTATACGTATAATAATACGTATAATTAATTATACGTATAATAATACGTATAATAATACGTATAATTATACGTATAATTGTACGTGTTTTTTTTCAATAGGGATATATTTTTGTTTATTAATATATACCTAAATATTATAAAATATAGACACGTATAATAATACGTATAATAATACGTATAATTATACGTATAATTGTACGTATTATTATACGTATTATTATACGTATAATTATACGTATTATTATACAAATAATTATAATTCTAT